GCTTGGCATTGGGGAGAGCGTTCGATTTCAAATACTGGTTCTGGAGAGATTACCATAATCACAAGTACTGTGGTTGTGAGAGCATCTGTCAACATCACGATAAAGTAGGTAGTTGAGAGCGTGTGACTTAAAAATGCTATTTTGTCCCGGAACCTCTCGTTTTGATTTGAAAACTAATAATTTTTTTTGTTCAATGAATTTATTTTACCCAAGTTTACGAAAAAAATTTGTGACTTTGGTCCTTCTACTAAGAAGTGGTTACACTGATAAAAGCAGCAAGATGAGATGAGTCCCTTGAAACTGAAGAATGTCAAGATAATAAAAACGTCGTGATGTATTAAAGCTCAATGTTATGACTTTTATAATCTCTTCTTGCTAAGTGAGCTATGTGCTAAACGAAAGTGTTTATGAGGAGAGATTTTGCAAGAATTTCTCAACTTCATTTTGCTGTTTTAGTTGTCTCTCTGCAAAACTCTATGTATAATACTCCAATCAGTTAAACTTTGATCAATCAGGGAGAAAAGGCGTAAAATTTAGTCTGTGGCGGTTCCGATTGTTGCAACGTTTTACAATTTCAAAAACATATCATAACAAAAGGACACGCTTTTCTCACTGCTGTAATTGTTCGCTCATAGAAAGCAAATACTGTAATAATGATAGCCTCTCATTGTAGTTTTGGGTACTTTCACTTTATTAGAGTCGGAATAAGACTTCAAACCTTGGGCGTTTTGCTAATATTCGAAACCTGCAATCTGATGCTGATGTGTATTCAAAATGTAAAATTTTCGAAGAAAATCCGTTTTCGTCTGTGAATGCGAAAACACGTAGAAGCTGTGCATGTTTTTTCACTTCAATATCGCATCACTCCCGAGATAACAGATTTTTGCAACCATAATAGTTGCATTCTCATAAATTCTTCCACATCCATAAAGTCCATAAAGTGATAAACCTTTAGTTCATAAAAATTTCCTCATCAGTACATAATATCTATGTGTCAATGGAAACGCTATCAACTTTTTTTCGCTGAGCCTCCCTTGTAGCCCTCGTTATGCTAGTGAAAGCCGCCGGTTGATCAGTAGCTATGACGTAAAACAGCACATTGACCTGTAAGTGAGACGCAGTTTCATTGCTAGAGAAATTTTCTTGAGAGAAGTACTCACAACGATGAGACAAATGCCTTGCAGCCAGTAAGCGTAACGCCACTGGTTGTAATCGCTCTCGTTATGCACAAATAACCAAAATAGTCCAGCTGCCACAAACATTCCCACGCATTTCATGAATTGTATAACGGTAAGGACTACGTGGGAATACTGTCTAAAAGACTACATATCCAAGGATTGAATTAACATTATCGCAGATGTTCTTGGGTGCTTGTGTTGGTGTTACACTTAATTACAGTACCGGTTAAATATCACT